CATCGATCTTGAAGACGGCCCAGTCGTCGTTGATCCCCTTGAGGATGTCGCGGATGATGCTGTCGTGGCCGAAGTAGCGGTCAGTCCAGACAGGTGCTAGCACACACTTGCGAGGTTGAAGATGTAGTCCTCCGTATGCGGCAGCAGCTTGCGCGTGCTCGACGAGTCCTGCCATGTCATTCAGACGGCCAAGAACGCAGCCATTATCGTCAGCGCAAGCACTGGCCATGCCGCGGCCTATCTTTGAGGAGTGGGGCTTGATGCCGCGCAAGATAGGGTCGAAGACAAGGGCCCAGATCGAGCCGCTGAGCGGGCGTCCTTGTGCGACTCCGATTTCTGCCACGAGAAGCGGTCGACGCGCGCCGCTCACCTCCAAGAAGGCGACGGGCATAGCGTAGAAAGCCTGCAAGAGCGTGAGGAAGTTGCCTGTGGCCCCCCATCGTCTAACAACTTCCCATAGCCAGCAATGGGGCAAGCTTGGGAACGCCGCCGCAATGTCTATGCTGCGGAAGCAGGGCACGTCGATAGCGGCCTGGTCGCGGATGCTGTAAATGCCGCTGTGGGCGCCGACCTCAGCGATGTTGTTGAGGAAGTGGCGACCTGGAACGAAGCCGCGCTGGATGCTGGAGACCTGCTTGACGATCGAGTGGAGCTTGCGGTTGGCGGCAGAAGCGACGATCTTGACGTCGGAGTTCCTCGTGGCCAGCGGGCGAAGTTGGTCAGGAGAGCGGAAGCATTCAGCATTCCCTGCAGGTTCGTCGCCTTTGGGGAGCATCGCCAGCATTGCGTGGTTCCAGTCATGTGGGGCGGAGTTGCCCCTGCTGATGTGCCGTGTGAGCTCTGCCAGTACCTCAAAACTACCTGGGGCGACAGCCCGCGCAGCGCGTGGAAGCCCGTCAGGGCCAGGAGCAGAGTCGTGAGCTAGTTTGGCTGCAGCCTGTAGTTCGCCAGCATCTGGCGCTGGGAGCTCGATCTGGTCGCGCTGGGGGAAGACGGAGTCAAGGAGCTCGCTCACGTCGGGGATGTTGACGGGCCTGCTGGCAAAAATCGGGGCCCAGTGCACCATGATCGCGACGTGCATGTCGGTCGGTGACTTGGTGACGCAGTCAGGGTCTTGTTTTGAGATGCGGATGCCAGCAAGAATCAGGCGCTTGGCGGAGGGTGTCCAGAGCTCCCCTCGCCGACGCGCGATGCTCGCTCGCGTCCGCCACCTGTGCCGCCGTTGTTGCCGCAGGTAGGCTTCGCGAGCGCGGGCGGCAGCATGGGCGCGACGTTCTTCGGCAACTGCAGCGCGCGCTTGAGCGGCGGCAGTGGCGACGCCGCTGTCGTCGTCGAGGCGAATCTTGGCGGTCGGAACGGCGGCGCCCATGTCGCACTGCAGCTGCAAGCGCTCGGCGCCGAGGTGGGCGTTGGAGATTAGGAATTGGGCCAGCTTTCCGTCTTGATGCCAAATTGCGCGGGCAATGCTGCGCATGGTCATCGAGTTCACTTCTTCGGAGATCTCGGCGCGGTCAGTGGCGAGAACTTCGGGGGATAGATGGGCCAGAGCGTCTCGGGCATCTGCGGCGGCGTTTTGCCGTGCTGGCCTTGAGCGCGCGCCGCTTCCCAATGGGGGGGCGGGCGTCGAAATCGGCGTCGTCAATGAGCTTGTTGGCGAACGTCTCGTAGAAGGGAGACTTGAAGAGGTGCGCAGGTGCCCCGCGCCCAGCAGGGGGGCCGCTGAGCACGCGGGCGAAATCGAACACGAAGTAGCTCGCGGTCGCTTGCGGGCCCGCCCTTGCGTTCGAGCGGGGAGCCGCCAACCGCCATAATCGTATCTATATGCGGGAGGTGATGGGCCTGGAACGAGGCGAAGACGCGGTCGGTGCTTGACTTGGCGTCGTGGGCGAAGCACCTGCGAGTTGCGGGGGCGCGCATATCTCGACCATCGGGCGGAAGAGCTGCTTCCAGAAGGATGGCCGGCACTGGTATCGCCCATGATCAGGAGCGTCAACAAGGCGAAGAGGGCCTCGCGCAGGTTGCTCGGAGATGTTGAAATCGCCCAGCATGAAGACCATCACGCGATCGGAAGAGTTGCGTGCCTCTGTCACTGCCGCTTGCCACGCGGCCTTGAAGATCCGACGGTCATTCGCAGAAAGGCCGTGATTATGAACGTTGAAATTTACTCGCAGGTATTGCCAGAGCGGGTCTTGAATCCGAAGCTCCACGATGCGGCCAGGCACGATCACGGCGCAGTTGAGGAGCGGCTTGCGGTCATCTTGGCCGATCCTGGGGACAAGCTTCGGGGCGAGGAAAGCAGCGCCACCTGCGGAGTTGTCGTCAGGGATGCCGCTGTGGAAGATGTCGTAATTGGCGCCCGTGGAGTTGACCATGGTCTTCAGCGGCATGGCGTTGCCGTGAGGTTCCTGCAGGGCGATGAGGGAGTGCTTGGCCAAGTAGGGCATGAGGATGGAGCGCTTGACGCCCCGCTTGGCGAGGTTGCTGCGGTTGAGCACCTGAGCGTTCCAGCTGACCACCGAACACTCGGGGTAGACCGAAGATGTCGAGGCGGCCCAGGGCGTCCATCGGTTGCTAAAGCCACGACACTGCGGCAGCTGCATATGCAAAAGCGGCGGCGAGAGCGTCCGCGCAGGAGGACCGCATGGCAGGAGTAAGACCATGAGCTTCAGCAGCGTCAGACCATTACACCTTGATGGCCAGCTCTGGCCTCTCACCGACGATGAGGCGGGCGATGGGCTGGTTGTCGATCGAGAGGTAGCCGCCGGCGCGATGAACTTTGGGCAGGAGCGTCGGCTCGGCCTGCGTGATGATCTTGGCGAGCTTCTTGAGCTGGATTTCCTGCCTCACGAGCTTCGGGCTTTTGTCGGCGCTGACGTAGAGCGGGACGGGGGGGCTGTCAGGGGTCTGGAGCGAAAACGATCGCCAGTCCCGACCAGCGCGAAGGTGATGATGAAGAGCTTGAGCGCGTGGAACGGCGACAGCGTCCCCTCCGAGTACTGCGATTGAAACTCTATTCGATGGTGCGGCGCTGCTGTAGCGTTCCATGGAAGCATCGATGCCAGCTGCCGCAAACCAGTCAGCAGTCGCGGCTTCGACGGCAGCCTAAGTGATGTCCACCGTGGATCCGCACCAGAACGTGCCAATGTGCCCAGGTCGGACCCACGTGCCGAGGTTGCCGATGTCCATGGAAGGTACTTGAGCTTCTGCCTGCGAGATGGCGGTCTTGAACTTGTCGACAGCTGCGTGGAAGTTCTTGTGTTCGGTCTCGGATGCGGCCATGCGCTGCTTGGGGGAGGCGAGATCATCTTCGGCTTGGTCTTCTCGTTTGCATATGGCCGCAGTAACTGCGGTGACACCCTCGAGGAATCCAGTCTGGGCCTTCGCGCATACTTTCTCGGCGGTGGCCTGGAACTGGATGGTGGCATCGGCGACCTGCTTGGCGAGGAGCTGCTCAATCTCGGATTTGAAGGCCTCGAGCTTGTTGTGTTGTGCGGGGTCTGCCCAAGGGTCCTGAGCTTTTCCCTGACTTCCTCGTGGTGATCGGTTTCGCCGTTCGGTGGCCTCTGGCATCTTCCGAGCTGCCGCGTGTATGAGCAGGCCGCCTCTTCCGCCAGCTGGCGCGGGGCTGCAGCACCACCAGGGGGCAGTGCGGCGGATATGTAAAGGTATATGGAAGAAAAGATCGAGAGCGGGCTACGGACTAGCAGTTTCCATGCAGAGCCTGCGGGCGCTGTGCCCGCCAACATTGGGATCTTGAGCCAAAATGGCTACGGAGGAGGAGGAGGAAGAGGAGGAGGAGGAGGAGGAGGACCCCCTCCCCCCTCCAACTTATGGTGACGGTGGTGGAAAGCAGGCCCATAAGGCACGGCCCGGGGCTCCTCCTACGTGTCCTCCGGGAGGGCAAACAAGAGCGCACGGGGGGGCGGAGAGGGCTGGGCTGGGCAGCGCCGAGGGGCTTCTGGCACGGCCCACGCAAGAGCCCTCGAGGTGGGGCCCAAGCGCACGGGGTGGGCTCCTGGGGACGAGGGGGAGGAGGCTGGGACATCGAGTCGCCCCCTCCACAGCAGAAAAAACAGAGAGGGGCGGGGGGGGGGCTCCCGCGCCGAGGTGGCAGCCCCAGGTGACGGACGGCTGAGCCGACTCGACCATACGGCTGAAGCCTCATGCTCTTCTCCCAGCCGTGGGAGGGTTGGCCTAATGCACCCTCTGGCCCACAGTGGGCAACAGCAGGAACAGCAGGGAAGCGGAGCCGCAGCAGGAACGAGGAAGAAGAGAAGAGGGGGGAGGCAGAGGGAGAGAGAGGGAGAGAGAGCACGGCAAGGTTACGCGTGTTCGATCATGGACGCCTCGTTCCCCATCGACCTTCGGCAGTCTTCAGCAGTCTTCGGCGGTCTGGCGCGCCAGAGCTGGACGGCTCCGCTTGAACGTGGGGGCCGCGACCGAACACCCAAAGCAAGGAGGCAGACTGCCCAGGCTGCGGCTGGCACCCGGGGGACAAAAAGGCATCGATACCGCTTTCCCCTCCACCTCTTCCGGGCTGCGCTCCGACCAGAACTCCCAGGCAGATTGGGCCGTGGCGACGGGGGCCCTCCAGGAGGCCCTCGAAGGGCGACAAAGAGGGAGATGTGTGGCGGCACCGTATCTCTTCCTCTTCAGAAAATTCGAGCATCGTGGAGCCCATCCCTATACTCACTGGCATGGCCTTGGCCTAACTGACCGATTTCCCCGCCTAGATGGAGATGTATGCTTTTCCCTTCGGGCTTCGCGGGGCCAATCCCCGACCGGGGGGTAAGGAGGGTTTTTCTGAGATACCGAGGCGTTACACCAGCTACAGCAGACCTGGCTCAGTGATTCTGGCCAATTGAAGGGCTCTGGGGCCCTACTGCTGACTGGGTCCCCTTACCTGGGGTCCTGGCTGTACCCGATCCTCGTCCCAGCCCCGTCAGGCGTGGCCCAGTGGGGATGGGGATCGGTGGGACGGCACTGGCCCCCGCCCCCGC